CTAATGCCGAGGAAATTGCTATTGAGGCACTTGGCAGAAAGGCTGGCGTTTTAGAGGTTAGATAATTTTCCACGTCTATCTGAGAGATTTGACCACCGACTGACAAAAAAATCTAATTGTTCTGTTCACTTGGCTGCATTGAAATGTCTCGTTTTTAGCTTACAAGAAAGATTACTGTGGAAGCAGTCCTTGACATTACAACAGAGTGACCGTAAATTGAACAGTTGAAACTGCAAATATAAAAACACAAAGAGGCCGGGCTCAGTGACTCAGCCTGTAATCCCAGCACTTTGGGAAGCGGAGGTGAGTGGATTACCTGAGCCCGCGGGTTCAAGACCAGCCTGGACAACTTGGTGAGACCTCGTCTCTACAATAAATAAAAAATTAGCTCGGCGTGGCAGCACGTGCCTATAGTCTCGACTACTTGGAAGACTGAGGTGGAAGGATCGCCGGAGCCCAGTAGGTCGATGCTGGACTGACTGTGAGCGTTCCCCGTGCTTCAGTCTGGGCGACGGAGTGAGACTCCAACTCAAAAAAATTAAATAAATAAAATAAAACACAGAAAGACATTGTTTGAAGTAGAGTAGAATTTTCACTTACATTTTGCTCTGCCTGAAATGTTTTTAACTTAAATTTTACATTAAGATTTGTTTTTTGTAATCCTAGCACTTTGGGAGGCTAAGGCGAGTGGATTGCTTGAGCCTGTGGATTTGAGACCAGCCTGGGCAACTTGGCGAAACTTCGTCTCTACAATAAAATAAAAAATAGCCAGGCGTGGTAGTGCATGCCTGTAGTTCTGGCTACTCGGAAGGCTGAGGCGGAAGGATTGCCAGAGCCCAGCAGGTCGACTCTGGGGTGGCCATGAGCATGCATGCCACTGCACTCCAACCTGGGTGAAGGAGTGAGACTCCAACTCAGGAAAAAAAGAAAAAGAAAAAGATATGTTTTAAATTGCCATTTTCTCAGTTTTACAGAGGAAGATTCACTTATAGGTCACAAGGAAAATCAGTACCAGAACTGAAAAACTGAATTCTTGAGTCTTAGTTTTCAGCATTTCTAGTGCTGCCAGAAACAAGTGATAAGTTTTCTTTTGCTCTATTTTTTTAATGGCAAAATAAAGAATGCATGGTAGGCTTGACAGTAGGAGGTAAAAAAAATGCTTTTATGGTTTCCAGTAGAAAAATTCCCTTCATAATCTTAAGTTTCTTTTATTATGTGTTTAGTTATAAATCAGCCTGTTGCTTATAAACAAAAATTTGTTTAGTCCCGGGTCCAACATTTCTCTTAGTATGTCTTTAGTTGTATAAATCAGCTTCTTGCCAATAAACACAAATTTATATTAATTCTAGGTTCAACATCTTGAAAAAGGATAAAGCAGGGATCATCAGAGAGTTTTTAAAGGAATGTTGGTGTAAAATAGCTGGTAGAATAAAAATATATCATACAGAGTAAAATAGGGCAAAAGAACTGAAATGCAAAACATGGGCTAAAATAATGAGTTCAAATGGGTCCAAGTGCTAAATATGTAATTATCTTTCCTATCACCTTATATGTACACGTTTTCTTTTAAGTTTTAAAATCCTACATTTCACTCCTCTTGTTGTTTTCAAGTGTGTGTGCGTGTGTGTGTGTGTGTGTGTGTGTGAAAGAGCATTTGAATTTAATAAACTAAAAGTTTTAAAATTTTAACTTACAGATTGACACTACACTAGTAGATAGAAATGGCTTTTTATTTATTGGTAGGTGGTTTGCCTCTATAGCTTGAAATGAGGAAGAAATGAGTTGGATTTGGTTTATCATTGTGCCTTCAACTCCCTTCTCCAGCCTCTTGGGGTCCCGTATACTTGTTGAAGGGCCCAGGAACAACTGGACAAGTGTGGTTTTAGTGCTCACTGACCTTATGGATGGTTGCTGCTGTTCTCCTGGGGTTTCGGAGCTGCTGTGGCTGGAGGACAGGGAAGGGGCGCATGGGTCAGCGGAGGTGAGCGGTGCTGGGAGGCCCTGCTTTCCTGTAGTCCTGGACCTGGAGGCGCACTGCCTCTTGCGCCAGCCCTTTACAGTGCTGCGCTCTTTGCTTGGGACGTCTTTTCTCCCAATCCACATGGCTTGCTTCCTCACCTTTTTCCAATCTTTGCTCAATTCTTACCTTGTCAGATTACTCAGTAAAGGACGAAATCCCCACCATCTGAGAGTTTGAGCAAACGTGGATCACAGTCTGACCGATGTGCTGAGAGGATCATGGCCGTTGTCATGAGAAGACCCTGCAGGCGAGCAAGGGCTGCAGCAGTGGGGCAGTGGTATCGTCGGGGGAGGTGGTGGAGGCTCGGCTCAGAGGCTGTGGAGGGGCCAGAGACAGTCCGAAGCAGGATGTACTTTGAAGGAAGAGTCAATGGAATTTGCTGCCACTTGGAATGTAGGATGAGAGAGAAAGATAGGAGTCAAAGATGCCTCCGAAGTTTTGGTCTCAGGAACTGAAAGAATGGAATTGCCATTTACTAAACTAGGAATATGGATCAGGGAAGAACACAAAGTCAGGAATTTGGCTATGTTTGTGGCCGTTGGAGAAACTGAATGTGAATTAGGAAAAGGTCTGGACTAGTGATATGAAATGTGCAAGTCATGAGCTTGAATGAGATCACTGGGTCTTAGCGTTAGTTCAGAAGTGGATGGAACCAGAGGGAGGGCCAGTGAAGTAGAGAAGATTCTGGAAAATGGAACTCTGGAACAAATGAAGAATGTTCCAGGAAAGGCAGCAAGAGCACTGAGTGAAGACTGTGATGTGACCACTGGACTTGGCTTGGAGAGGCCACAGGTGACCGTGATTAGCTGCTTTTGTGGAAGGCTGTGGGGCAGAGGCTGACTGGAGAGATTTGAGTAATAAGAGAGGAAATGGGACCTCCAATACAGACTAATCCTTTGCAGGAGAGTATTTTGCCTAGTCGAAGGGAGATGGGGGCTGAAGAAGGAGCTGAAACCAATGAAATGGAGACTTTTACAAAGGAGTTTGCACGCTGCGGGAGTGACTGAGTACTGGGGGAAGTCGATTATGTATGTAGGAAAAGAAGAGTGGGGCAGTTATTGGGAAGGCATTTTCCCTGGTGAGTGCTTCTTCTGCTTTCCCTTCCCCACCCTCAAGCTCTCCCTGCGGTCACTGTCCCTCTTACAAGCGCCTATTTGACCCTCTGCTGTTACGTGCTGCCTCTGTTCTTACTCTTTCGAAGTTTGACCCCCCTGTACTTTAACTCGTATGGGTCCAGCTGTGTCTTGAGCCAAAGAACCACTCTACGGAGTATGTTAGTTTTAGAGTCCTCCAGGAGCTTGCCATAATACCAAATCCACACCTCTCTGGTAATCTTGGACTATGACAGAAGGCAAGAATTATATTAAGATCTCACAAACCTTCTCTCTCCCACCATGATGTGCTATTTCCAGATCCTCAGTGGCCCTGAACTAGCCTCATAAGTGTTGGATTATAGGTGGCCTGTGGTGATGGCATTCAATGCCAAAACAGCTGCTCAGCTCTGAGCATCAGTCTGTTCCCATTGTGGGCATTTCTGGTGGCACAGTGGCTTGCCTCAGCTTTGATTCTGTCATCCACTCCCCCTTTCTGCCCTTCCTGTCACAGGGTTAGGCTTGTGGTGATGAACAAATGCCCTGTCCTTAGCCCGGGGTTGATGTAGGTTAAAAGACGTTGCAAGCAGTACAGCAAACAGTGAGCAAGTCAGCGATCTTTGTTCTCTTCAGAGCTCAAGGTTTATGTTTCCATCTACGTGTCCAAACTCTCAGGTCAGAGATTTAAAATTAGGACCAGTACTAGGTTTGTAGGAGAGTGTGGCGGCTGCTGTGCTGCCATCGATAGGAGGTGTGCATGGCAGGCTGTTGAATGCTGTGTGCAGGTACCCACCTGTCCGTTAAACTGCGGTAGATGCATGTGATGTTCAAGATGTCATTTGGGGAGTTTGTGCCACTCATTTTTAAAGCAGGGAGGGCAGTGGAGATATCGGGAGCTCCTTGGCAGTCACAGTAAGAAAAGGGTAGAGACGCACTCTTTATGGTAGTTCCAGATCATCCCAGAAGTTCTTTGGTCAAACTCGTCTAAGCAAAACTCACTATGCCCAAATTCCAAGCAATGCTGCACACTTGTGGTGAAGCAGGATGGAAGGCCGGCTACACTGACTCAGCCATGTCTGTGCTGCCTTTGACCGTCTGTGTCTCTGCATGGCCTAGCTGGAAAGCTCCTCCTCTGGACGGTGACAGCATTTAGAAAACTGATTCTTCTAGTCTTTCCCATCATAAAGATGGAGAGGGAAATGCTTTTCTTTGACGTGAATTTGCTCTTTTAGCAAATAGAAACTGTTAGTTAACAGCTTAGTTAGACGTTTCAAATTGCCAAGCCTCTGTATGTCTGTCCTGTAGAGAGGGTTTCGTTCATAGAGGGAGTTACTGAAGAATATGAGTTGATGATAATGATATTCATGGACTGTTAGGAGATTGGAAACTTATTTGGGATACCTCTGAGGCACTGTTTTCCATGGGTGAATGTTTGACCTTTGTGTGGACTTCCAGACACACTGTAATACAAAAGGATGGTGATAGATGGCATCAGCCTTGTGGGCTATAAATGTTAGTGAAGTGGTCTGAATGCTTTAATAAATTGTTGGGAATTGTAAAAATGATAATTATATATTTATGTACTCTTTTCATACTTTTAAGAAACAAAAAGGTACTACCACTGCGTTATAATTTTATTGTCTATTTAAAATGCAGATTTAAAAAATTCATATTGTTTTTTAGTAACTAATAATCTATAAATTCTTTTTGATTTTCCCTTACTTTGCAACCTTCTTTTCTTTCCTAATGTGAGGAAACCCACATTGATGATGCCTGTATTTTGAACAGGTTGAACTTATGGCCTTGGCTATCATCGTCACTTAGCAATCTATTTTTGATTTTTAATTAATAAGATTTTTAATCTTATTATTATACCTTTCCTTCTGCAGACTGGTGAATTTTCAGCTCGCTTCCTTTTGAAGTTGCCTGTGGATTTCAGCAATATTCCCACATACCTTCTCAAGGTAAAAATATGTGACTGTCAGTATGAGAAGCTTTTAAAGTAATTATTTAACTCAATATTTGTATGGTTGGGTTGTCAGCATTTTGTTCAGATGATGAATTCTACTAAAAATATTTCTTACAGATGAACATTCTTTATGATATTTCGTTACCTAAAAGCTAAAATAGTAGCTTTAAAAGTCATTTAGAAATGAGTTTTCTGTATAAGATACATTAGTATGAGTAAATTAAACTTTGGGAAAAAATCACTTTTATATAATAATCTTAATGGGATGAAAGCCTCTCATAGAAACTGCCTAATGTGCATTCTGTCTTTAATTAGGATTGCATATTAATTACCTATGCTGTGCTAAAAGGACATTTCATTTTCTTTCTGTATGTCAGCAGTTGAACTTAGGCACCTTCAAAGTTAGGCTGTCCTGAAGAGACCAAGAGTCTAGGTAGACCGGCTATTTATTTATATGGCGTTCTCTAAAACACTCTGCGTGTGGGTTGGGGGGCTGCCACTGTGGGGATGACTTGCAGTGCATTGCAGAGAGAGTGGGGTCCATGTAACCAGCCATGCTAGGGCGAGGGACACTCAGGGGGCCAGGCAGTGAGTTCTGGGAAGGCTGCTGGTGGCAGAGGCCTGGCTTCACCCCAGATGCGGGTTTTGATTGTGATGTGAGATTTGACTGGCATCCCTCTGCTCCATATTTTAACCTCTGGTTATTTAATTTCAATCTAATGTACAAAAATTTCTGCCTTTCGAATTTGATGTTCAGAGAGCTAGTGGGAGAATCTTTGTACAAGTTTCCCTGCATTTTGTAGTAATCAGTAAATAATATTAGATGTAAATCTTGGTGATGATTGAAAGTATGATTTGGTAGAATGCAAATAGACCATGGAAAAGATTAGGGAACTTTTTTAGTACATTCTAAGGGGGAAAATTATTTTTTTCCCTAAGTAAAATATGGGATTTTTGCGCCTCATTAAAACTTTCATTTTTAGTTTCTAGTTGACTAGTTCTTCATTTTGTACCCAAGAGTCGCAAAGTCCAAGTGAGGATGGAGGTCAGCAATTTCAGTTTATTGTGTGGGGGAAAAAAAAATATATATGTATATATATGTGTGTGTATGTATATATGCTAGATTTGTGATTACAAAACATAATTAATTTGGTTTCAGTCATTACTGTGCTCTTTTAGAATAGCAAGTGATCTCCCTAGAAACCCTTATATCACATATTTCAGTGACCTCTCTCATGTATTTAAAATTCCCTTTCAGCCATTTAAAACCAAATTCTACTGCACACTCTAATGTATATGAGAGTACATTATATAGCCACCTTAATCTACAATTTACAGTTATAATATTTTTGTTACGATTTGTTAGCCTTCTCAGTTTGAGTAGTCTTCCTGTTTATTTGCAATTGATGTTGCCTCTGTTCATATTTTAAGGGTCAAAGGAAGAAAATATTTGTTGACTCATAATCTAGTTTTTTCCCTTTAATATCAGATTCCTGTGTTTTCTATTTTAAGAATTCTAACTTTATGTTATGCTCTTACTTTCCTTGTCAGTCAGATGAGAGAAATTTGCCAAAATTGTAAAGTTTTTTCCTCCCCAAATTGCTATGAAGTGATGTCTTCCCTATCGATGAAATGCCAACATTTCAACACTGATAATGTCTTTCTGAGTCTTTAGTTCATGCAAAGAACTAAATAGCAGCAAGGACTAAAAAGGAGAAACTCTTGTACAACACACAGCAACAACCAAAAAAACCCAGACCTACCAGTATATCAGAAATAATCCAGAATGCCCATTGAGGGTGTTAAGATCCAAGTTCCTGCCATTGGTAGAACACCGGACTGTGCTCCTCAAAGGAAGCGTGCATTGGGAACTCCTTTGCACATCAGTTGCATTTGGACTCCCCTTAGCTAATTCATAGGCCTGTAACTGATCACTTAAGTCCAAACACAAAATAAACTTCCGAGTTCCTAGAGTTAGGGTCCTTTTCACCAGCACCTTATCATCCAGAGCAAACAAAGGGAAGGTGGAACTTGAATATGTTGAGATAGCATGGAGTTGGACTACATACTCCGTGAATTTGCTATGTGTGTGAAATTTCTGTGAAATGATAATGAAACCGTCATTCACTCATCAGTCCTCATTACCAGTATACCTATTTTATCCACTAATAGAATTATTTTGTGTTAGAATGAGAAAGCCATTAGATATTAAGTGATATGATTTTGCTTAGTGTTATACTCTAAGGATGTATGGTTGTTGCATAGAATAGAGTGGATTTATACTGAAGATGAATCCTCGATTCCAAGTCTGAATTTTCTTTGGGTTGATATAAGTCAAAGGGTTAGATAAATTATTTACAGAAAACCTCAGTCAGTAGAAAACTGTTTCTGTACTGGTAGAATTCTCTATGGGCAGAACTGCAGGAACAGCATGAACTCAGTAAACCAAATGGGAAATGTACATGTCCTCTGCTCCTGATGTCCACGTGGCAGGAAGCAGAGTCTGTGTTTAGTAGTCTAAGATCAGGTGTAGTCCCAATTTCTCGTGCCTGTTCTGCTTGGGCTGAATTGTATGCCCCTGAACTTTTCTTCTGGTGTGTTTGCGGGGGAGAAATTGTGGTCCACAGAAAAAAAGAGGCGATTAGAGTAGAGTTACTAAACCAAAGAAAGATTGTTTTATAATTGCATACTTTTTCTTAAGGAGGAAACACACTGATCTTACTTTTCTGAGGGTATGTTGAATACATCCTATCTTTTTTTTGTCCTGAGAATGAGTTAGCCTAACAATATGATGCCAAGTTTTGTTTCTGGAAAACCACACTCCATAGAGAGCTAACTAAAGAGAAGTTTCAAATAGTCTTCTAAAATTTTTATTCTCTGAATAAGAGGTACTCAGAAACCAAGGATATAGTATTTTGAGGAGGGGAGAAGTTTACATGATATGCGTTTGAATTGGTCTCTTAAAATAAGGAGCCAGATTTACACAGAACATAGTGAAGTGAAAATCCTGGAGCTAGGAACCCCTTCGGTAGCCTCCTACAGAAATATGTAGGAAGATCGATGTATCTATCCCACAGGACTTGAAAGCTAAGTAGCAAGTATTTTCTGCTGATAATGGATATGGCAAACATAACCTTGCAAGGAAAATCAATGTTAACTTTTCATTGTTGGATCAAAAAAGACCATATTGTTTACATACTCTAAACTGTGGACATCTCTAAAGTAGATACTGTTGAGCCTTAGCCCAGGCCAGAGCAGGGCTTTTATGTTTTTCTTCTATGATTTTCCATGACTGGAGCACCCGGACTTTCTTTTTGTTTGTTTGTTTATTTATTTATTTATATTTTGAGTTGGAGTCTCACTCAGTCGCCCAGACTGGAGTGCAGTGGCTGCTCCTGGCCTCCGCAGTCTCGACCTGCTGGGCCCCGGCGATCCTTCCACCTCAGCCTTCCAAGTAGCTGGAACTACAGGCGCGCACTACCACGCCCAGCTAATTTTTTGATTTATTGTAGAGTTGAGGTCTCACCAAGTTGCCCAGGCGGGTCTTGAACCCGTGGGCTCCCAAAGCCCGAGATTATAGGCTGAGCCACTGAGCCCGGCTAGCACCTGGAGTTTCATTGGTATCATGTAACATACGCACTGAGCCCATTCATCTGAGTGGATTGCATGCAGAAACTTAGTTTCACTATGCACTCTGAGTCATGACACTATCTGGAAATGAATCAAGTGTGAAAAGGCTAAACTAGATCATCTGTGCCATGAGATGAAGCTCTCATCCTTTGTCTGAAGCTGCTGTGGCTGCACGATCAGTCAGGGCACAGTCGTGCAGAGCATAAAGCTGCAGCGGCGCTCAGGCTGTCCAGCCTTGTTCGGGAACCCAGGACCGGCAGGGAGTTGTGGTGAATGTGTCACCATATGCTGGTGGCAGCAGGTCGCTGACATGGAAGAGTGCATCCTGGGTGCTGAGGCTGTCTGGTTGCAGGAGCAGCCTCCTCAGCCTGATGCTGGCCAGCAGATGACCTGCCTGCAGTCAGTCTGCTTTCTAGTCAGACCAAGGTAACACGTGCAGGTGCTCATAGAGCCAGGCAGCCACTGAGGAGGAGTGGATCTGGCTTGATGGAATGCGATAGGAGAGGGTCAGACCTGTCATGAACTGGCATTCGTTTACTTCCTCTGAGGGAGCGACTGCTGTATGACTTCAGAGATGTTTCCATGTGCCAGTCTGGGCCTAGACTGTCTGCCAGATGTGTAGGTGGCATTAAAGGGAGCCCAGTATTGGGATGTTTTTTCTTTTCTTTTCTTTTCTTTTTTTTTCATTAATCAGAATTTTTTATTATGGTTTTGTGGGATACAGTTAAGGGTTAGGTGTACAATTACGTTTCATTCAGGCACCCTGTTGATAAGAGGTATTTTCCCATCCCCCGACAGATATTTGCTACTGTTAATCCCATCCCCCTCCCCCCCATAGTTTCCCAGTACCGTCAGTCATTTTCTTATAGTATTGCATTGGATTTTCAAGGTCCATTATATGAGTGAGAACATGTGATATTCAAATCTTTGTTTCTGTGAGAGGTCACTCAGTATTATAGACTCTAGTTCCATCCAGGTTGCAGTGAAATTCACGATTTTGTTCTTTTTTATGGCTGCGTAGTATTCCATCGTGTGTATGTACCACATTTTTTTAATCCAGTCCTCTTTTGATGGGCAACATGGTTGTTTCCAGGTTCTTGCTATTGTGAACAACGCTGCAATAAACATACGTGTGCAGGTATCTTTTTTATAGAGTGATTTGTGTTCTTCAGGGTATATTCCCAGTAGGGGGATTGCAGGGTCATATGGAAGGTCAACTTTTAGAGCTTTTAGGAATCGCCACACTGCTTTCCACAGAGGTTGCACTAGTTTACACTCCCACCAACAGTGTAGAAGGTGTTCCCTTTTCACCACACCCTCTCCAGCAGCTGTTATTTTTTGAGTTGTTGATAATTGCCATTCTGA